ATCTCAAAGCAAGAAATAACTCTTTGCAATCATATGTGTAAAAATACAAACATAAAAATATGTTAATATGAAATGAGGTAAGATTTCCCCAAAGGTGGGAAATTATGATGTGAAAGGAGAAGAGTTTTGCCTTTTTCAGCATTCCACTATCTATTATACAGCCTCAAGCTATATGTTCCCTATGACATGATACTGACTTGGGAACCGCTGTCACCACAGCGCAAATACTCCAAGGCAGCTGCTGTGCAACAACGATTAAAACAGCGAAGATGTAAGTCAGCCCAAAAGGACAACGTGGAGGGTTGATTAGGTCTCAGTTGCAGGCGACAAGTAAACGATTGTGAAGTAAGCTCTTCACACAAAGAAAACTGTCACACGAATATTTTTTGTAGCGATCGATATAATATAACTGAAACAAAATATCTGGAAACAAAATGCCTACCCAGACTATAGTTTCTCATTTTTTTTTTTTTTTTCATATATAGATGTAGAAATGATGATGAACCCTCAGACTTTGAGGTCTCATGTAAACTGCTACAAATAGCAACAGACATGCAAATTAAACCTGAAATAATGTCTTTTGGGGATGTTCTAATCTCTTCACATGTGCAGAGGACCTGTGTTTGTCTCTGTAACCAGTGACTTCAACAATTAGACAGCTATTGGTGACTTAAAGAAAGCCAAGACTGCTATCTTCCTTGAACAGAAAATCTCTCTAAAGAGAACTGACATTCCACTTGCTTACTTACAGATCTGGATGTTGATTTTATGGCTTGCCACCACTGAAGTAATAACTTATATATCTGGATAAAATTAGTGCAATACAATCCTGCAAACACAAGGTTCTCGCTAAAAGCCTGCATCACGGCTCAGAATGCTGAAGATACCATGACAGCTACAAGAATGGTTCTCAGACTTTAAATATTTTTAGCTTTATGTTGTCTTTTACAGATCTTGCACCTCCATAGTAGGAAGTATTGTAATTTTTTGTAACTTTGCTTTTACAAGTCACTTTCGTTTAGAAAATGTTCCTTGATTGCATGCATTTCCCTTTAAAACACACAATAATGAACTTTGTTGCTGGTCAAGAAAAGGTAATTTCGTATTATTTTGCCTGCAATAAAAACAAAATGCTTCAAGAGCTTAGAAATAACTTTGAAAAAGTGACAGACAATTTTTCAGCTAATTTATATCACATCTTCAGAAGATCCAATTGCAATTTTAAATTAAGAAATTTTACTCCTTTGCGTATTTTTCACAAAAAACTTTCATTATGATTGTATCACTGCAAAAACTTAATATTCTCTGGGAACACTATTATGACTTCCAGTCATAGATACAGATGATTTTTTTTTTTCCCAGTAGTTAAATTTTCAGGTGAATTTCACTTCTGTAATTTGATTCCAATTTGCACATATCTTCTCTCTTCAATAACAAAGAAAAAAACCCCACTTTTCTTTTCAAACATGATTGGCATATTTACTACATAATTGCAAACTACTGCTGTGGTTTCAGATGTTATACCCCTGCACAGAAATGATGGATTAGCCTGCTCTTTACTTGCTTTGAAGCAAAAATGTTGCCTCTGTCCCTCTTTATCCAATTAAAAACGTGTAAAATTGTTCTCCAGCTATGTGTGAATTTACTTTTTACCCCACTTCAAATGTTTATATATGAATATTCACATATATGCACAGTAACCAAATTATTTAATTCAATAAGAAATGCAAAATGGAATGGAACTGAAGCAAATTATGTATCCACAAAATGCCACTGTGTTTCACTTCATGTTACTATCAAATGAATATTAAAAGGATGTAAAGCTGAAAATCCTAATTTTCTTAACTCATGCTAAGACACAGCATAAATCACCAATGATGTTAAATATGCTCTTCCTTCCACAACATTTTCTAAGAAAACAGAAAATAAAAGGAGAAACAGTAGTAACAAGCTCAATCTAATCAAGACCCCAAGAATCTATACTGAAGGTCTTCCTGAAGAACTAACAGGTGCTGTCAACACAAGACAAACTTCAAAGTGCTGTTTGGCTGGATCATCAAGTCTCCCCATAAATATACAACGAATTTGATGTCACTGAAGCCTGCATCCATCAAAGTTATTATCGAATACAATTTCTTATGGACAGATCAAGCCTCACCCACCTAGTATATTAAGGAAAATGGGCTTCATAACAAGAGTGGAATCAACTTTGGCATGTGATCCTCTTTCCTCAATCACTCTTGCCTTTTTATCTTTTACAGAAGAAATTAATATGCACAAAAAAAATGAAGTGGGAAACACTGGCTGGACAAGAGAGAAGGTACTAGGCACAACAGACTGCTGGAGTAGGGGAGGAAGTGCAAAACCATAATGTCAAGAAGGAAGGGAAAAAGATCTGAAGATTGTGTTTGTTTTTGGGAATGTCCTACTTACCTATGTCCTCACAACCATTGTACAGTGGGAGGAGCTGTGGGAACTAAAAAGATCTTATTTCACTCCTTATAATATTGAAAACAAGAAAAAAGTCTGGAAAATCAGCTACAGTTGACTAGATTAGTCAGCTACTGGATTGACTAGATTCTTTATGAATGGAAGTATGAAGACCTGAGTCAGGAATTCTGAATGTTTATTACACTAAAAAAAAAAAAAAAAAAAATGGAAAAAGTGGGAAAGTTGCAGAAAAACCTGTCAGTAATGTGTTTGTATAGAACTGCTTCAAGAAAAAGTCAGAGCAATGTAACCTGTGTGATCCAAGATGACTGTGGATGCTGGAGGTGCCTACCTTAAGAAGAAAAATTCATTTTGGGCATCTAATGACAAAGAAGTGATGCTAAGTGGACTGCAGTCTGCACAGAGGAGAAGAGTCATGGCAAACTTTTAAGTCCTGAAAAGGAATAACAGACAAAAATATATGTCATCAGTCAGGAATTAGGTGTAGAGAAATACTTTCCAAGAAAAGAAAATATAAGACTCACTGGAAAGAAATAGGTAAACACATTTTCTGAGCTAATATATTTTCTTAAAAAAAAAAAAAAAAAAAAAAAAAATCCTGCACAATAAACAGTTCTGAAGACAATGAGACCAACACTTGTCGGGAAGAAGGCAGTTCAACTTCTAGCTAATGCTTTCACCAGTGAAAAGGGTCTCCATTCCAGAAGTTTTTCAGCAATCTGTATAACTCACATTCTTTCCTCTTTTTTACATGGCCGTTTCCTTCAATGCCCATGATAATACATTTATTCCTTGCAAAAGCTTTTGAAGACATCATTATCTAGAAGGCATATCTGTATGTTTTAATTTAAAATGTTTTCTTTTGTTTGTCATCAGTCCCTCTCAAGTTTCACTGTATGGTACCAGCTGATGTGATTTCTGTTCATTGCCTTAACTGTCAAGGCATCTCTGCATTTAAAGTGCCTATGTTCTCCATTGTACTGTCCAATTTCCCAGCACTTCCCTGTTATTGCAGGTATCAAGGACATCTGCAAACTCTGCCTTTGCTGGCAGGGATCACTTCACTTCTATTGCATGACAACTATTTATGATGACTCTGCAATGCCAGTGATCACTTTACCCCAGTTCACAGCTGGCACTGGCAAAGCAGCCCAACTGGGACATAAGCTTTCTTCCGTGCTGCTTTTTCGCTCAGACTTACTCCTCAGAAAAGTCTCAATATGTGTTCCTCTTAACACAACTAAGAGAAGCCTGAAAAGCTGTAAATAAGATAGCTTTTCAAAGACATACAGAATACATTAAAAAATCCTGCAGACTCTAAAGCCTCTGGTCATTTTAGGACAGCCTGCATGTAACACACTGATTTTTTTTCCTAAAAATAATGTCAGAGGACAGTGTTAGGGCTCTAAGTGCACCCACCTTCCAGAAGTTGGAAGTTAGTTGGCTGAGTTAGGGAGTTTAGCTTGCCAAGTCCAAAGGCAGCTCTTCCACTAATAAGAGCTGTTACTAAGAAAAGTAGAAACAAGGGCCTGACCCTCTTTTCCTCATTTTCGCATGGGATCTACTTTTAAGCAGTCTTTATTGTTGGTCGCCTATATTTGCACCTGGTCTGGTGCCGCCCTGACCTTGACCCACACCCCCTGGCTCACCTTCCTGACTTGTCCTGGGACCCGCCGCTTCACTGGGTCCTTGCTGGGTGATCACTGGACTACGCCTGACCCCGAGGGCCTGATCCTGACCCTGGCTCACACTTGGCATCCTGGCTCCTTGCTGGTGAGGTTGCTGTTCTCACTTGCCCCGATACCACGCTCGGCTCCAGGCTCTCCTTCCCCTTTGGAGTGGCTGGCCCTCACTGCTCCCTGGTAAGCAGCAACATGCTCACAACAGTTTTTTCAGATTTGCTAGGCTATCTTCAGAGCAAGATGTCCAAAACTTTCGGTGAGGACAGAGGGCAGCAGTAATATTTAAATACACTCCAGTTACAGCCTAAGACGTCCAGTGAAGCCAAACATATCATCCAAGGACCTATTACAAATGTGTAACATGATGTCATGCTTAGCAAGCCTCCTCTGCCACCTAATGGGTATCAGCCCTGAGAATTTGCCGATCAACCCGCCTCAGCTACCGCCTACACTGACACCGTAAAAAGAGCTGGCACATCCCAGCTTCTTCCAGCGGATTGACTGCTGCTATTTCAGCCTCTCCCTCCTCGTATTAAGGGCAACATATGCCAGATTTCTGGCAGGCGACCTCAGCCAACCGGTGGAGGAGCAATCCCCTCACGGCCGCGGCTCGGCCCGCCTTCCCTTCGTGGCTTTATTTCCTCGCTGAGACAGGCCATCCCGCCCCGACGCGCCGCCCGTGGGGGGGACACGCAGAGGCGGCGGCTGCCCGCCCCTCCCGGCGTGAGGGACCCAGGGCTTGCCCACAGCCCGCGGCCGCCCACCAGCGCCCACGGCCCCCTCAGCGCCCCGCCCCGCGCCACCCACCCCGGCCCGCCGCAGGTGGGAGCAGCCGCGCCCGGCCGCGCATGCGCCGCGGGGATGCACCGGCGCGCCGGGCGCTTAAATGGCCGCTGGCGGCGGAACCCCCGCCTGCTCTGCTGTGGGGGTTGCCTGGGATCTCGCTACCGGGGCGCCCCGGGCGGCCGCCCCCGCTGGGGTCTAGACGCAGGCGGTGGAGCTGCCGGGCGGCGCCCGGGGCCTCGCGTAGGGCGGTATGAGCGAGGAGTAGGGCCCGCACCCCGCTGGGGGCAGGCGAGCGGGCGGGCGCTGGATTCCTCGGATTGCGGACGTCGCGGGCAAATAAAACACGCGGGCGGGCGGTTGCTCTGTGTGTGTGTGTGTGTGTGCGCGCACTGAGGGCGGAGCAGCCGCGGCGCCCCGCGCAGATGGAGCCCAGCAGCGGCAGCCGCGGCGCCGGGCCCGCCGTTACGCCGGTGGCGGCCGTGCTGCCGGCGGGCGGGAGCGGGGAGCGCCTGGGTGGCGCCACCCCCAAGCAGTTCTGCGCCGTGCAAGGGAGGCCGCTCGTCAGCTACGCGGTGCGGGCGATGGAGAGGTAACGAGGCAGGCGCCGCTCGGCTCCCCGTCCGCGCCCTGCGGGCCTTCCCGGCCGCCCGTTCTCGCTGGCCCTCGCCGCGCCCACGGTCCCTGGAAAGCCCCTGGCAGCCGCCCGCCGACCTCGCCTCGGGCCCGGGGCACCCCCGGCGCGGCCGCCCCTCAGAGGGATTGGGTTCGCGTTTCGGTGGGAGCCTCCTTCCCCTCCCCGCCCGGTCCGAGCAGGCAGGCGGTGGCTGGGGAGCCGGGGGCCTGGTGCGGGCCGGGCAGGCCCGGCCGGGGATCGGCTCCGGGCAGGAGCTGGGCGCTCTGCCCCGGCACCGCCGGCCCGGGCGGCCGTTCCCCCTCCCGGGGCGGCCGCTGCCTCGAAACTCTGTTGCTTCCCCTTGCTGCTGGAGATCTGTTCGAGGCAGGCCCTCAGCCTCGAAGGTCGAGGTGTTCCTGTCGCCGCGGTGGCTGGTCTGGTGAGCTACAAGCCTGCCGTAGCCCTTGGAGACAGTCATCATGCCATCCAGAGGCCTCGAGAAAAGATCTGTTCTGCCATAGCCATTGGAGATGGTCTTAATGGTGACCAGAGGCCTCGAAAAGATCCAGTCTTCGTAATGGGATGAACTCGGTGGTCTACAGCTCAGCATCATGCTTCACCTTTATGGTGGAGCACCTTGCCTCAGCAAGAAGCTTAAAAGCCCCCTTGGCTTTGTTTAAAATACGGTTACTGGGCTGAAAGCTGATAGCTCACATAGCATGAGGCTGGATGTGTAACTTATTTATGTTGGAGCAAGGAATTTAAATAATGGGATATTTTAGCAGTCAGATTTCTCTGCTTCACAATACTGTTGTGTTCTAGGCATGCAACTGACAGTTAATATATTATTGTCAAATCTCAACATAATGTAGGTCTTGTTTCTAGTGTCACTTGAAACACTGCAGGTAGGAATGGGGTGTCAGATATATTCTGGATGTTTCGCAGTAACTTGTAGAAAAACAAACCTTTAAATTTCAGAGAGAATAAATGGGCAAGGAGTGGAGGGTGGTGAAAAGAAATGGAGTTGCCAACATCTCCCAGAGTTCTTAACTGATGGAAACTTGTACAACATCAAAATCGGGACTCTTTTTCCATTCCCACCCAGAGAGGCTTCCCCCTGGTCACTTGTTACTTTATGAAAGAAATATTGCTTGTTTTCTTTATTTAGTTTTCAACAGCAGCCAGTCACAAAGCTAAACACATCAGTAAGCAAAGTCTTCAATCCAAAGCTGGTCACAGCTGTAATTTCTGCCAAGATGTCATGGGAATCTACAGAAAAGAATAATATCCTTACTCATTTGTATTGGAGACCTGGAAAAGAGAACAGAGTGAGGCTTGGGAAGGAAATGATATTCATATGAAAATAAAACATGATTAAAAAAAAAAAATCTTTCATTTTTGCTGCCAGTAAGCTCTGGGAAAATAACAGTTCTTTGAGTAACAGTGCTATATCTATGTCTTAAAGCTGCAAAAAATTAGAAGGTTGCATTCTAATTGTACAGTCTGACCAGGCGTGTGACCCCAAGTTGATTGTGAGAGTAACAGCCTGGTACTTTTCTTTAGGTTCCAGTGCTCTCACAGATAGAGCTTTCTGCCATCACTGTACTGAATTGGAGTGTTGGCTGGTATGTTGGTGTAGGAGGAGTTGGGAACAGAAGTACTCTAAACCTCAGAATGGCTTTCGTTTTAATCTCAACACTTCTGACTCTGAAACAGCAAAGGAAGTACGTTGTTCCTTGCGTGAATGTACGTGCAAAAATGTAATATTGAGGAACTACAGTTTGTCATGTAATCTATCACCTAGAAGTGGCAGCTTCTCCGTGTTTGGCTTGATGCTATCTTCTGATGTCTATTTTTTACCTGCTGTAATTGAATGAATCATTGACTCTTGAATATTGAACTGGTTATCACAGCTGTAATTGAGCTTTTTCTTAGTCTGGAAAAAATGTAGCAACATATAAACAAATACATGAGCAAATCAAGAATTTGCAGCAGCTTTATATATGCTTTTTAAAAACCAGTAGAAGCTTTTTATGCTGTTTAGCTGAAAGTAGTGAGAATCTTAAATATTGATGTGGAAAAACTGTCAGACAAGAGCAGACATGAATGAATAAGCAGTGCATCCTGTTGCATAGGATGACAGCATGTAGAATGTTGGCCTGCCAATAATAATCAAAGATGATGCCCTTAGGAGGAAGAGGTGGGAAAAAATAGGGTGAGGAGAAATTACTGTTTTTTATTGCCAGTACAGTGATAGGAAGGTCAGGTACTACCTTGGGGGTAAAATTAAAGTGTGTTAGAGAACTTAAATGTCTGTTTTTCCCATTGGATTTGTTTCTGCTTTTGTTGAGCTATGCAAGGTTTTTGCATCAAGTTCAACAGAACTAAAATGACACTCTTCCTTTTTGCTTCTGTAAAAGCTAGTGGGGTTTTTCCTTCATTTTAATTTTTTTGGTGTATCTGTTTAGAATAGAACCTTTTCAGTTCAGTTTGAGACATGGAGGAATCTCAGCTCTGCATGCACATGCGCACACATTTTAATAAGGTTTTACAGAGGAAAACAGACTAAGGTAAATGTTGATTTTAGAATCATTGTGGGACAAATAAGCTGCTGCTATTCTTGCTGTGCTCATATTTCACCAGTTGTTGAAAGTACATTGAGAAGTTAGGAAAGAGGAAAGCAGAATTACTGTGTTTACTGGCAGAATAAAAATTTTTCATAAAGGTTTCAGACAACTTTATTTACTTTGTTTACTGTAATGTAGTCTCTTAAAACAGGTGGCCTGATATATAAAAAAAAGTCACCTGGGGGCAGCTTCCAAAGGATCGCCTCTTCAGAAGTGTCCTGTGTACTCTATTTGCCAAGTATTTTTCCCCATTGGCTGATGCATGTTCACTGGCTCTGTGGGTCACACAATTACAATTTTGTTAAACGTATCTATTGTGTTAGTACTTTTTGTCCAGTTATCATTAGCTTATTCTTGAAAATGTTTACGAGCTGAAAATAGCCATAGCAAACAATACAATTGTTATAACTTTATGAAGGTGCGTTTGTTATCTTGTTTGATAAGGAACATTTTCTTTCAGGAAAAAATTAATGTCTTCTATACATGAGATGCTCAAAACTTCCTTAATATACCTGTGAAACTTTACAGACTTAAAAGCTCCGTGCTTCCATTTTTGCACTGTAAAAGATACATAGGTATTAATACATTTTTTATATATCAGTAAAGTCATAACAAAGATGTTATGGAGCAAAAAAGTTATGCTTGCATTCTGCAAATGCATTTTGTTCTTGACAGTTCTTTTTTTCATTTGATGCTTGAATAATAAGAGCCAGCAAAATTAATATAGTGGTTTATCTTGTACCTCTGAAGAGTTTCTGTGGCAGTGAAAGATCGTATCTTACACTATTAAAGCCATCTCGGCAGTGACTGCTTGGTTCTAGCCCTGTTTTGTGGACAAAACTGCTGATTTCAGTAGGTTATATGTTAATTAGGTTGCTACTGATCTGAGTAAGAGTTGCAAGAAACTGAGTGTGAGTATTTAAGCCTTATGTCAGATTTCGGGCTCAGCACTGGTTTGTGTGTGAGTGCACTGATAAAGTGTTAAACCTCAGTCACGTTTGTACCCAAGCATGCTATTTAGGTGATACATTCTCAGAGCAAAACTCATGGGTAATTTAATTTCCTATGCAGTCTGTGTTGTGAAGTCATGTAATAGCTTAATCTGTTGCTGAGTTAATGAGCTCCTTTACTTTGAGTTCCAGCTCGGTTAATATAAATGTATGTACTTTTGTCTGAAATTTGATGAAACAATACTATTTTCTACTAGGCAGCTAACCAGTCTGTTGGTAGGAGATGATGAGAAGGATGGTTGCAGGAAATAATTACATAGTCCTTTTCTGCCTCATTGTTTTCCTTCTACTAATGTTGAGGTCCTCCCAAGGCACTTGTAAAGTGATCATAACTGGGGCTGTTACTTCTGTTTAGTTTGATCAGACCTGATTTTCCACTTTAATACTGCGGCCTATGTTGTATGGAAGCACTAGAGTTCTGCATCTAGTGCTTGTTAAAGCACCTTGGGGCACAGTGTTCTGATCATGCCTTATGCTGATTCCTTTTGAAGCTTGTATTATCTTGATCTAATATTACAGTTATAAAGTGGAAGGGGTGTTTACTATTTTTAAGCTGGTTTTGAGCTGGTCCTGAGCTTCATATTATTTTAGTATGAAATCTTTCTGAAGAAAAGGGTGTGACAAATTGAGGGAAGAAAATAAATAATCTGTTTACTGCCAGATTGAGTGTACGCTTTCTACTTCATTAAAACACTTTTCAACGTTTCCATAAGCAGATCTTTAAAAGAGCAAGTACCCGTGTGTTGCACAGGTCTCATTTGTGAGAATTTGTAGCATACATTACAAATTTAGTAATTTTCGTGAGTTTTGGTGGGACATGTTAGACTTCAAAGCCTAAGCTGTTCTTGTACCTAATAAATCTAGAGGATACCTTTATACTCCTATATGAATAGGCTGCATCTCTAAATCCCAGCTCTAATTATAGAACATTACTCCAGAGTGAGTTTAAGGACATGCTTAAGTTTATAAATGTGTTTATCCAGACACAGGGTGGAGCTGTGACCGCATCCTGTCACTTTTCGGTGTATTCTACCACTGGAGGCCTTGAGCCATTCCACCCGCCCTGTGCAGAGATTTATCGCAGGCTGGCCAGTACTTCTGTTCTTTTTCCTTCTTCTCAGGAGATGCTGTGTACTACCCAGTTGCCTCATAATCTGTTTCGTTTGACTCCAGTAAGGGAAGCGTCAGTGCCCATTTTACCCATTCACTAGTGAATGTGCAGACTGTCCAATGTTTCTGGGAACTGTAAGGCTATAGTTTTTCTGCAAATAGAAGTGTAGAGTACTTATTCTTGTTTAGAGTGAAGTAGCTCCTCTTGAATTTTGCTTTATTTAAATAACTGACTCTCAGTATTCAAAAAAGTAACTGAGATTAATCCAATTAGTTTGCCCTAGTTCTGAGTTGAAGTCATGCAGAGGTGTTAAGTTTTGTGGCTCACTTGAGAGATTTGAAAACCTTTTGATGAACCTGTGGTGAGTGACAAGTTAAAATGAAACTTGAAACCATATGACTTCATATTTTACATCTGTACTTCAGTGCTTAAAAAGTGCTGAGAATATGCTGGTTTGGCTGTATTTTCTGCCTTTGTTAATAATAAAATGAACATAAGGACAAATATTTTTCTTCTGAAAAATGCTAATAACACTTCTATTTATTTTATTTTTAAAAGTTATTTTAAAATTCATTGAAAAAATTTTCCGTGGAGTTCTATTAATTAGAAAAAAAACATACAGAAGGTGGAAGATGCTCTTTCGTTTCACACAGTTATAGGGGAGTTGTTTGTATCACGGATGACTTTGCTTTTGGAGTAAGGATAGATTGTAGGCAATGCCTTCTCCTGTGTTACTGCAGAAAGCAATAGCTTGACCCTGTATATTTCTGAACTGTAAATTTCTGTCCCTTATTTTTCTAACTGAAAATATTTAATATCTTAGTCTGTCTCGTGTCTGCAAAATTAGTTTCAATAGCTTTACTAGTTTTAGTTGAGATAATATACTGTAGTTCTCTCCCTGTCTAGTTGGGTGTGTAAGCTACACATGAGTAATTTTACTATAATAAATAGTAAATTGTTTCTGTAATCATTGCTCATCTGATGAGTTTCTTGTCTGTCATGTTAAAAACCCCCTCCTGTCATCTGTGGAGACGTAGAAAGGAAATAAAGCAATTTTAAATTATTTTTTTATGCTTACTACATAGCATTTAGAAAATAAACCACTCAAATATCTGGATTTGAATTATGGTATTTCCATTATTTTGAAGTATAGTATGCCACATGTGACCATTATTTGTATTCCCAGGTTCTTTGACACAAGTATGACTTAAGCCTAACTTCAGTTATTACTCCTTTTAATCTTGTGGGTCGTGGGCCATTCTCCCCCCGTACCACCCTTCACTTGTAGAGTTAGCCTGATACCAACAGTAGAAGCTTGAAGCTCGCTAAATATGTGCTTTTAATATTACGGTAATTTTACCTAGCATAGCTGTGTTTTTACTTTTTGATCTTTGTTTCAGAGTTTTTCTTGATCCTCTTACTCACTTGTACACAGTATACTACACAGTAGAACATGGAGTATTCCAGGTCTCAGGATTTGCCAGTTTATTGGAGACTGAATTTAGAGACAGCTAAAAAACCAGACTGTAGCTGATTGATTTAAAAGTTACGTTTGAAGCGAGGAATGAGGCTAAGTTAAGAAATGTTTTGAAGGGTTATCAGAAAGTGCTTTTTTTTAATTTACATTTTTTTTTTAACTCTGCAAACTGGTTGTTGGAAGAAAGTCCCTTCCCAGAATTCCGGTTACTTTGGTTGACGTCCACGTCATGTCTGTCATGTCATGAGATCATCTCACATAGCTCTCTTTAGGGGTGGAGTACTAATGCACACACAAAAACATGGGCTTGAATATATTCAGATATGCTTTATTTTACCAGCTTGAATTTCTTTTGATATGAATTTATTTGTTTCATGGAGATATCTGTACTTTTATTTAGTTATTTGTCTACTTTCTCTGTTTTTGTACTGTTTCTTCTAGGATAAGTTGGATATCCAGTATTATTGTGGTGGTCTCTCCTGAAAATATTGAAACAATGAAGTCTATAATTGAAAAATATGGCCACAAAAGAGTTGTGATAGCAAAAGGTGGAGTAACTCGTCACCGGTCAATTTTCAATGGACTGAAAGTATTTGTAGAGAATGAATTTTCCAACCATCTGCTTCAGAAGCCAGAAGTAGTGATTATCCATGATGCTGTGAGGCCATTTGTTGAAGAAGATATTATTTCAAAAGTGGTTATGGCTGCTAAAGAGCATGGGGTATGTACTATGCAGAAATTCAACTCTGCAATGTTTTTTATACTTCACACTGTGGAATGATGATAAATAAGGATTTTTCTAGCAATTTTATTAATGTATTATGTTGATTTTTAAGTAGAACAGATTCAGAATCCCTATTATGCAGAGAGGTCAAATGGGGGGGAGTGAGACATTTTTAAATACTTATACGTAGCAGTGTTATTTGCTACGAGGAATAATTATTGCCAGAGAAACTATCAGTAACAGATTGAATTAATCAGCAATTTGTTAGTTGAAAGGTAGATTATATAATGATGGTTTACCTTTTTTTCCATGCAGAATTCTCACCTAAGTAGTTAAGTTAGTGGTTACTAATAATAGCTAAAGAGAGTACTGCACTGGATGACTCGCTAACTTTGTCTTACCTCAAACTTACATGCAAATCCTGAATAAGTGACAAGAGAGCTATCTGTATTAATGCTAAATTTTTCTAGAATCTGTAAGCATTGCAAACTGCTGGGAAAAAGGGGAAGCAGAAAGCTTCCAACTGTAGGTTGGAGATCCTCCTGGTCATCACTGCATCTGAGGACTGGGAATATTCACAGGGACTAGAAAGATTTCTGAGAAAGTAAGTGATATCTGAAGGGGAAGAAGTTGGTAGAAATTGTGTTACACAAGTAGAATGGTAGAGTTATTAAAGGCATGCACTAGCAACAAAAGGAACTGATGGATAAAGTGGCTAAGATAGAGATGTAAGAAATCACAACTGAGCCACAGGCTTGCTTGTACCATTTGTTGTCTTTACTTTGTACTTCAATTCTTCATTAATAAAACTGTAGAATGCTTCCCTACTTCAGGGAGATGATTTGAGGTAGAAGTCAATAGTGACAACAGATCGTTTGGGTATTAGAAAGATAGGAAAATCAACCACTACTGGTCTTGTTCAGTAAATGAGGTAAGATAAGCGAATTGACAGATAATTCACAACTTTGACAGTGGAATAAAGAGTCTGAAGAAAGAATTGTGGTATTTCCTTAGCCTTCCTTCACCTTTTTTTGAAAGCTCATAGTGTAAAAGGGGAATGTACCACTTAAAATATTTATTATGAAAATTAAATCATGTCACATCTCAGAACATTATGGTAGAAATATAAATATATTGAGCTTCTTACTAGTAGGCCTGTACTTTTCTCATTAAGCCAATCTACAAATAGCAATAAATAGAAACTCTGCTATATAGTTTTCAGTGATGCAGAACATAAGTTTCCAGTCATTAAAACTTAAATTCCGTTAGAATTTTAACAAGATTTTTGACCTTTCTCATACAGCACAAAATAGCTTTCCAGAACTGATTCTCTGCCAAAGACTTTAAAATAGATCTGCTTTGTAAATCTGTTTTAAATGAGATTCTTTGAGAGTAGAAGAATGGGGTTAATTGTACTGATGTCGAATTGAAATGAGAATAACTGTGTTGTTAACTGAATGTGTTTTGTGTTTAGGTGTCTGCATGTTATGGTATATCATATCTCATTTGTCTTTGTGTTTAAGTTTTTTTATCTTGTTCACTTTTTTGTGAAACCTGTGTGATTTTAATATATTTTTTTTTCCTGGCTTTCTTTTTAATTGGGTGTTAGACATTTTCAGTAAAACAGTAGGAAAACAAGGCAATCTTCACTGACCTTCTCAAGGTGGTGTGTACTAGTTCATCTGAACTTCTGGCTGGTAAATATTTCCTTACCTAGATCACTGAAGTATCATTTGAGTTCAAAAAGGTGATCTTACACATTTGTCGTAGTCTTTTCCATTGTATAATGTCTGTCTGAAATGTGCATGGTATTTATTAGCTCTGTGGTGGCTTCCTGTGTTGGCTTAGATCTGCTGAATTCAGTGAGGCTAGGCCATCAAAGAACTGGAATTCAAAAGCTGTTAGCTAATGATGTTACCTGACAAAGTAATTGAATTAAGGAACACGAGAACTTCATTTTATGTAACAAATTGGAAAAGCTTCCTGCCGGAGAGAGGTGGCTATCTTCACTTGACAGCTACTGAATTCTGAAGAACTAAATGACTGGAAAGCTAAGACTCTTTCTCAAAACTGACGTGCATGACCTTGAATATCAGAAAAAATTTCATCCAGAGAAGCTATCATCTTTAGTTCTTCCTACAGTCAAATTCTTTGCATATTTAAAAGGGGGTCAATTCTTCAATCTTTCAGTACAAAAAGTAATTACTTCCTTTTGCATTATGTAGGAAGGTACAAAACCTGGCAGAAATATCATATTAAATCACTAGTGTAATAGGGGTAATGCTGTATTGTTGTTCATCTGCATACCATATAGATAGCATAATTATGAGAAGCTTTAATGTTCTTTAAAATGGCAATTGATCAAGTAAGTTACGGCACTTCTAGCTGCCAATTGTCAGACAAATAAACTGCTTTATTGCACTTACTAATCAGTTTGTTATTTGCCTGTAGGAATCAAAATGTGCACCTTATCCAGAACTAATAAATTATGCTTTAAATCCCCAAAACAATCCCTTGATTATGTGAAAATATTACTTTGTAACCAATTAAATTCCATTTATGTTTTTGGGGTAATTTTGTAATTAAAATTACATGTTTCTAGAAACAAATTCTTTATTGCTAGTAAAAGTTGAGAAAAGTGGAAGCTTCAGAAGGCATCAGTCCAAAGCCTCTAGCAATATTTCATTGCCAACATTGCATTTTAAACAACATAACTAAAAAGAAAAATGATTACAAGAAAAAAAAAATCAGGAAGGGGGGGGGGAGGAACTTGTCAGTTCTGCTATTGAGAGTTAAAAAAAAAAAGGCACATACAGTCAAAGACTCTTTTTCTTTCTGCAGTTAACATAAACTAGATTTGAAAGTATAGTTTATTTCTTTGAAAGGACTGAATCAAAACAGCATTCTTAAAAAGCTGGTTTCTGGAAACTGTTTAACATCATTACTTTATTCTCAGCTTTATCAAGGATCTGAACAGAGCATACATGCCAATATAGATGTACAGTGTTAGTCAGTCTCATGGACTCTTATTCACATACATAATCTGTCAAAGTAATACCTCCAGACAGAAAACATTACATATTATGCTCAGTCTGTTCCTGAGTTTACTCAGACTGAGTGCTGCAGTTATCAGTCTTACTGTAGCATAAGGCTGGAACAGAAAACATGCACCCATACACATGGTGTTCTTTCCCCCAGTTAGACAGCAAAATAAAATGCTTTATGTATGGTTGCTGAGTTGTATTAGCAAAATATGGTGGGTGACAAACGAAAAAACCACCTTTTTCTCCACTGAAGGTGAAGGAGGCCTTGGGTGGATAAATAGGCTGATCTGGTGTGGGCTGTACTTGAATGGGGATGGCGATGCTGGAGCAGTTCTGGTCACTCTGTCCTTTCTTTGTTCTTTTTCTCTTGGAAGTGATTATCTTTTTATGTTTCCTGATGATCTCCTCTGTTTTTGCCATATAAGAAATATTTTACATGTGATCTCTGTCCTCTTTGTTATACTTAAAGACTGATTTTAGCCAGCTGTAAAGGCTGCATCAGTAATGGACTGGTTTTGATTCCTATTTATACACTGGGTCGTCCGAAGTTGTCCTGTACCTGTGTTCTCAGAGGTTCTGCTTTGACTGTATGCCTGCTACTTTGGGGGCTCCTGCTGTCCTTTCAGACACTTACACAAAAGCAGTCAAGAACTGATGGCATATGGCCATCTTGACATGATTTTTATTCCACTGATGGAATGAGTTCTGTAGTTTATGAGACTCTGACTTATGTCAAAGTAAAAATACATATTAATGAATTGTAGGGGTGTTATATAGCAATTTCAGAAGAAAACAACATTTGAAGAGCTACGTTATTGTGAAGATGAGAGTATGTTCAGTAGGCCTGAAGCTTTTCTAAATGTATGAAGAAATCAAGTGTGGTTTTGCTGCTGTACAGAAAACGGTTACAAAACACGTTATTCCTGTTTCAGCTTTGTAATAATGGATGACTATCGGAAACATGCTGATGTTTCCATAGCTTATGGCATTATTGATCCCATAGAAAGTTACAACCTTCTCACCCAAGTTGTTAATTGTTTTCTGTGTTGAATGGAGAACTAATGTATTGTTAGCAAATACTTGAAGTCTTTATACTAACAAGATGTAGTGTTTGGTGGTGGGAAAGTACTGGTAAAGGGAGAAACAACTCTGTCATTTCCCAGTCTCAATTTAAGTGATTTAGATGCTTCATTGCATTCATTAAAAAGGATGCAACTCAACCAACTGAAACACATAAATCATAGACAGCAATTTAAATTATAATCTCCCTTTCTTCTTTGCAGCATTTCTGTGTTGGACTAACAGTCAGCTGTGCCTAATACAACTAGTATTTAATCCTTTCAAAAAGGTGGTTTAATACCACATTTTTCAGCTTTTGGAAGTCTACAAATACAGTAATTTTTACCTTACTTTTTTTTTTAAAAGTAGGATTAGGTTATCTTGTAAGTTTTGAGCATAGCTTCCTGTACTTAAGTGGCTGCTGAGGTAATTTTTATGTAATGTCTATAAAATGTACCTCCTTTAAATTTAGAGAAACTACGTATATGATGCTGCTGTTGATTGGAGAATAATTAAAATCTGAATGCTTCATCTGTGAAAGCAACATGACTTGGGAAGATGAAGCAGCCTTTAGTGAAGATTTGTCTAGTCACTCAGATTTCTCATTCCTGCAGCAGATCAAATGAGTGAGGAATACTTCCTTAAAATAAGGGAAATCTCAGCTTGTCCAGCATGCGTGAGTTGCTGAATAAAGGTAGTAGATCATTCTAGCCATTTCTACATGGCAAGATCTGGAAGAGATTCTTAGCCATATCTCTCTGGCTAAGGATTAGGCATGCACACCTTGCCAAGTTTTTTCCCTTTTTCACCAAATACTGCACTGAAAAGAAATCTGAGTTTCATTCAGAAATGCCTCCATCTGCATTTTGGCTGAGTTTGTGATCTGTGTGGTTG